TGTAGCATCTGACTCCTAGTATAGTATCATGTTTTTCTTCTTTCTTAATCAACTATTTGAAGAAAGAAAAAAAACCTCAAAAAGAGTATTTTATTACAACTCAAACTCATATCGTTTTTTCTGGTTTCTTAACATTTATATATCTATTCTACTCTTACGCATAAAGGTCGTTCTTGAGAAATTAGAAGGCCTAAACGAGTTTTACGAATTTATAAAAGTGGGCTCATATTGTATAATATCATCTAACAAACATGATTGGACAATATTTTTTTGATTAGGAAGTTAAAGGATTTTAGAGATAATTCTCAAACATGTTTTTTGAAAGTACTCATATAAAGATTATTAACAAGTATATGAAATATTTATCTAGATCTAATAAAATAAAATAAAATATAATATATTTTAAATTATCAAAACTCTTAGAAGTTAGAGATAAACAATACAGATTATTAAATAATGCAAAGATTACTTGAAAAACATTTATAATCGGAGGCCAGGGCGTGCCCTCTCTCTCACCTATAGTCAGAACGAAATACTTTTATGTCAAAACTACAATAATTGTTTGGTTCCTTTTTCTCTTACTCTTTGAAAAGTTATGTCAAATTTTATTTTCCAAAAATGATTAATTGGATCATAAAAGAATGGAAAACTATTTTGTATAAATATATACCAACTTGCTAATTGGGGATGCAAGTTAGTCTACGATAGGGATTGATGGGCCCCACATTTTAATATAGTAAATTGTTAAATTGGACTTAAGTTGTGAAAAAGAATTGTAGATTAAGACAAATAAGCACAAGTTGTCAACAACTGTAAATTGTCAACAGTCAACGGCCATAGTCTCTTTTGCAGATGTTGACCGCAAAGTGTAGTTGTAGATAGGATTATTCTTTATAATTTATTAATTAATGCTATAATTATCACAATAAATAATCGCATATACACTTGAAATTAGGGCTCAGTCAATTTGTTGAATTGATAATCGACCGATCCAACCGAGTCACGGCTCTACTTGAAATAGACGGATTTTTCCAGATTGTTGAGTAAATCATTTATACAATCCATATACTTGTATATATACTTATACGAGTGCATTTCGATCTTTTTAGATTTTACACATCCATGCCTAATAAATGTGTAATAAATAAATATCTTAATTGATAGTATAACATCTGCTAGAGTATATATTGTAGAATCATTCC